GGAAAAGGTCAGGAGGAAGGCTGTGAGAGAAAGAAAGAGAGAGAGAACGCTTTAAATTTATATAAAAGTTTATTTAAAAAAATTATAATTATTTCTCAATATAATTCTTTTGTACACATTATTCCACTCTTTGGATATTTTACAAAAAATGTTTTACACAAAATATTAGATGAAATATTAGACAATAAGTTTAAAAAGTGAGAAGAATGTGCAAAAATGAAAGATTGAGATTTTAATTTACATAAAATTTACATAATTTATGTTACGAAATCAAATAACAAAGCACATCATATGTATTTATGAAATTATTTTAAGAAATAGATGTAATTCTTCTTTTTTAATAGATTTTTGTATATTCTATACTCATTTTTCCGTTTATTTATTAAACTATGTATTTTTTACTTATGTCTGATATTTGCTCACTCTGTAATATCTTCAAGAAATACATAAACTTAAACATAAAAATAATTAACTCAATATATCGTAATTAAAAATACACTAATTTTAAAATGAATTTAAACTGTATTCATGGTAATACATAATTCAATAATCAATTAATCAACAAAAAATGTAGTTTACCTCCCCAAATTTATTCTAACTATTATGAATAAAGATTAATTTTGTTCTTGCCAATATAATATGTGACGATTTACACTTGTTTTCCTTAAATATTTCTAAAGAGAGTTAATTATGATTAAATGTAGTAAATAATAAACAATATATAGAAAGTTAAATATTTAATGTTTTCAAAATGTTTTCAAAATGACAATAAAAATATGATAAAAAATAATTTTCATAAAAGAATATAAATCATGAGAATTGTTTGATAAATTTCCTACAATGAAATACTTATATTTTTGAGCAGAATCGGTTTTATCTTTTATATAATCTTCTTTCAACTCGATACACTCGGTGCATCTTGTTTCTAGTCTCTTCATTCTGTCAATAAAATAGGTTTGATCAAATTCTGAAAAATGCTCGTTTATGGCAATTGTTTTATCATTGAATTTTTCTTTGTCTCAACCATTTCTTCATGTTCGGGAACAAAAAACTTGCAAGGGACTAGATCAGGCGAATATGGAGATGGAGAATCGATTCGTAGCGCAATTCATCATTCATTTGGTCATGATGACTGCACATATATGAGCTAGTATATTATCCTAGTGAAAAGGAACTCTTTCTTCTTCAAATGTAATCGTTTTTTCGCGATTTTTTCCTTCTTTCCGGTAATGATGCATAATATTCGGTGATAATTTTTCCTTTTTGAAGATAATCGATGAATAATTTTTTCCTTTTGAAGATAATCGAAGCCATATGCTGTGGATATCTAAAAGAACAGCTGTCATAATCTTTCCGAAATAGAACATCTTTGTTTTCTTCGGAGTAGATCCGCCTGTTGAAGTCCACTGTTCCTTGTTCTCAAATGTATAGAGATCCATGTTTTTTCAATAGCCATAAATCGATGCAAAAAGTCTTTTGTATCTCGTTTGAACCAGTCAAAGTACTCTTTTGAAACTCTTTTTTGTTGTGACGAATACATTTTTGATCCAATACATTTTTGATCAGCAAACACAGTATTCATTGCCCTTTGCCCAGTCAACTTCCTTATATCTAAATCTTCATGTAATTTTTTAAACACACGTTCAGAATATATGTCTGCGACATTTGTTATTTTTCTTATCTCTAATCTAATCATTCAGTATAATTTGACTTATACTTTGTCGACCATTTTCTCAGTCATTGCAGCTTTTGGGCGATGAACACTCATCAAACACACTCGTGGTCATGCTAAACTCGGCAATCCAAACCGTAAGGAAAAGAAGGAGCAGCGTCATCGTAAACAGAATCTAACTGAATTTTGACATTTTCCCTTTTAGATTCAAGATTCATATTTAATTATGAAATGGTATTCAATTTTTTATATCATTAAAAAGTATGTACATACATGTATGTACTATAACTGATTCAAAACAAAACTAAGCATCACATATGGCTGAAAATTTAGAAGCAGCCTTAAAAAGATGTAGTTTTCACATCTTACAATAGTTTCCCGAAAACATTATGGTGCAGACGATCGATTATGGTGCAGATTCTCACTTCCACAATTCGTGTACTTTCGCAATGCGCATGCGCATATTTTTAACCAATTTCATCATATATGACTTCATCACAATCAAATCTTGTATGTAACTTAAATACACGTATGAGTGTTTTTGGCAAGATTTGCTCTAACCTTTTATTTATTTATTTATAATTTCTTTTAGCAAGGACAAAAACGATTTTATTTATGGGCAAATGCGGACAATCAAATTCTGTTTGTAAGTTAAAAAAAATACACGTAGGGAGTGCTAATGTCAAATTTTTTTATTTATTTTTAATTCTTTTTTACAGATTGGACAAAAAATTATTATTTATGGATAGATTATGAACAAATTGTGGACAATCAAATGCCACAAAGATTTTATCAAAATTCGTATTTAGGAATGCCAACTTCACAAACCTCAGAATGAAGCATGAAATGACTTCTACGCCAATAATTTTTTAATATAACATTATAATAATTTTGCGATTAAAACCAAATCTCTGCATATTATGTATATAATATATTAATATAATATAGTATAATATATTAATATAATATATAATATATTAATATATATTTATATAAATAAAAAATATAGAAATTTAGTTTAAAGAATGAAATAGATTTTAAAATTTCTGAAATATTTTTTTATAAAGAAATTATTAAAAAAAAGTGTATATTATATTTTTTTATAAATCATATATCTATTATATGTAACTTTTGTATATAATTTTTCAAATTATTTACATAATTTATAAATTATTCAAGTTATCTTATTCTTCAGCTAACTTGTATAATTTATAAACATTGTGCATATTATAGTACATAATGCAATCTATGAAAGAGGAAACCCTGCCTATTATTTAGTGTCCCTAACAGCACGCGATATACTGCGAATCATCCCATTTTCACTGCTTGTATTGTGATTATCTATAACGTACTACAGGTTACTCAGGTACAAGTTTCATCGCATGCGTATATTCTCAGGTCAGAGATATAAATATAATAAATAATAAAAAATAATAAATAATAAATTTATTAAAAATTACTTAAAAATAACGATTAAATGACGATATATTTATGACGATAATAATATATAATAAAACGATAATAATATTTCGACAAATGTTACGTCTATAGAATATACGCGCGCGATAGAAACGTACGTATCATTTCCGTACCTCTGACCTGAGAATATACGCATGCGATGAAAAAGCGTATGTACCGCTGCGTAAATCCTGAGAATATACGCGCGCAAAAGAAAACCGAATGATACTGTCAGTGATGTTCTAGCGTGGATCTCAGTACGTTATAGATAATCACAGTATAAGCAATCACGAAAATGGGATGATTCGCAATATGTCGCGTGCTGTTAGGAACACTAAATAATAGGCAGTTTCTTCTTTCATAGATTGCATTATGTGCTATAATATGCACAATGTTTATAAATTATACAAGTTAGCTGAAGAATAAGATAACTTTATAATAATAAAATAACATTATTAATTACTATCTTTCTTTAATTAACTAATTGACTATATAATAAAAAACTATAAATAAGAAAAATATTTCGCATATTTAATACAATTATTAATAAATTCATAAATAAGTAAACAAAATATATATAACAATTTATAAATAATTTTCATAAGAAAAATGATTCTCATTAAACATAATATATTCACAGCTTTATATATGTAATTAAAGTAATCTACAAGAATTACATATACAATCGAGATTTTAAAATTGAGACTGTATACAACAATATAGTAACATTCATTAACCAGATCTATCATATTTTATACCAAAATTCCGTATTCACTTATATCATCATTTCAGTAGCAGGTTTCATCCCATAGAAGTGAAGCAGCATCGAGGATCCCAAGTTAGATGGATGATCGTTATTAAAACCATGCAATGGTACCAAGATAAAAGATGTTTCATCGCTTTCTCTTATTTTTTTTAATTTTTTCATTTTTTTCATTTATTTTCCGTAAAGGGTGTCACGTATATTATAGATTTTCAGTACTAGCAATCAATGTCGGAACGCAATCATAATCTACTGAAAACTTCCCGTTTTTATCCTTTCCTAATACTGTCATCATTCGCTGCGAATATTCGCGGCGAAATTCCATGGAAGGTGTTACCTCAGACATAGAAACGTATTTACAACGTACTTAATCGCAGTACATATGAGAATATTCTGAGATGATCGCAATATACGCATTGCAATCTTCTCAGAACATACTCAAGCGTGCTGTTAGGAATACGCTTTTCATTTTATTACTGCACTCAATTTCTATTTAAACATATAACATATACATTTTATTACTGCACTCAATTTCTATTTAAACAGAATTGAAGAATCCTGAATTAATTATGTAATAACGACGGTTTTATAAATATTTTATACATTATCTGAAATTAATTTATAAAATTTTGGATAAGTTTGGATAAGAGAATGGATCAAAGTATTGTAATATACTATTGTAATATAGAAATAAATTACACGATAACTATTACAATATTGTTATTATCATGGTTACACGAAGAAGAAAAAAGTACATTTAGAAATATGTCTTTTCAAAAATCGGTTAATAAATCTAAAATGATGATTTTATATCAAGATCTTTAATTTGTTTCATAAATACAAAACATCGTAGCGCAACACCGATTGCAGATTGCACCCTCTGTGCTCATTAATCCGTCGCTTACCAGTATCGACGATGACGTCGATGAGATCCATACTCTTGGCAAAGGCATCTCTCAAGTTGATGTGATGAAAAGACACGATGCTGCCCTCTCGTTTGGCCCTCTCAAGGGCTTCTCGTCTCTTGATGGCTTTCTCTCGTCTCATCTGATTCTTGTAGAATTCGGCGAAATTGTTGACGATAATGGGAATGGGCAACGCGATTACCAGGACACCACATATACAACACACACTGCCGATCACTTTGCCGAGCGGGGTCGTGGGGTAGATGTCGCCGTATCCGACGGTGGTCATTGTGATGCCTGCCCACCAGAAAGTCTCTGGAATGCTTATAAATTTGGTCCCAGGCTCCTCTTTCTCAGCGAAATAAGCAAGACTCGAGAATATAAGGACGCCCATCGCCAGGAAAAGCATCAATAAACCTAGCTCTTTATAAGAGTTACGTAAAGTAAAGCCGAGACTCTGTAGCCCAGTTGAATGGCGAGCTAGCTTTAGGATCCTCAGGATCCGCATTATACGAAAGATCTGTACTACCCTGCGCACATCTTGGAACTGATCGTTCGCGTTCTTGTTGGTTTCAACCAAGAATAGTGATACAAAGTATGGCAATATTGCCAGCAAATCAATCACGTTAAGACCGCCTTTGAAAAATTTCCACTTATCCGGTGAAGCACTGAACCTAAGCATGTATTCAAGAGTAAACCATGAGATGCATACAGCCTCCACCATAGCAAGCTGCGGATTATCTTGAAAGTTTCCTTTCTCATCATTCACTTGCATACTAGGAATGGTGTTGAGAGTTAATGCGATCGTTGAAAGCACAATAAAGAGTATTGATATCACAGCTATCACCTGAAAAAGTGATGGATCAACTGGTCAAACGAAGCTAATTAACCTATTTAATCTGTATGTGAAATGTTTCCCTATCTTAACTTTTTTCTTTATTTTTAATTTATTTTTAATTTATTTTTAATAAAGTAAAAGACAAAAGAAATAAAAGTAAGAGAGCAAGAAAAAGAGAGGGGGAACGGAGAGGGGGGGAGGAGAGAGAGAGAAAACACAGCAAAAGAGAAAAAGAGAGAAAAATATTAGAATATTAGAATATTAGATATTTTATGTATTAGACTTTTATATAGTGCATACTTTCTTTTTCTTTCCCATTTTTCCACTTCTTTCCCTTTCTCGTTTTTTCCTCTATCTAGGGGCTCTCCCACACTGAATCGCGACGAGCGATGAGTGATGAGCGATATCCAATGAGAGCTTTGCTTTTTCAAACATCCATCCGTGACGTTCAGTGTGAGAGGGCCTTTACTTTTTCTTTCCTTTTTTCTTTTTCTTTTCTTATTTCTTTTTTTTCTTCTTCTTCCTATTTTAACATCATAAACATTAGCGTATACGAACACAATATACGTATGCATGCACGCATGCGCGTATGCACACATGCACGCACTATTTTTCGCTTAGCTCACTCACTCACTCACTCA